TGTATGACCTTATCTGTGCATGACAACATAGAAATTGCTCATTGGTCCAACTAATTTATAATTTACTCATTTATTGTTTAATCACATTATTAAAATTCAACAATGCCAGTAGATGGTATACACGATCAGATGTCTGCTAAGCCAGGTCTGCCCATCTACAGTGCAGATGCCAGAAGCTATTGGGCAGTCTATTAAGCCCAGTCCCATGTTTAACATGGGCAGAAACAACCAACCAAAAATAGTTTTAAGTCTTCATCAGGAATGAAATTATATACATTACTGAAAAAGAAATTATTCTTTTTAAAAAATAATTATTATTTTTATGTGGATTGGTTTTTTTGCCTGCATGTATGTCTGTGTGAGGGTGCCAGATCTCCTGGAACTGGAGTTACAGACAGTTGTGAGCTACCACGTGGGAATTGAATCCGGGTTCTCTGGAAGAACAGCTGGTGCTCTTAACCAATGAGCCATCTCTCCAAATTATTCTTAAATCTATTTAGTTTATTTTTAATCCAAACTATAAATGCAAATTTACTGAGACTGGGACTTCTGGGCAGTTTTGAAGAACAATTCACATTTCTAATCCTACTTCCAATTCAGTCTGTCACCTCTCCCTCTGAAGTCCCATTGACATGCCCTTTCCACGGCTGTAAAAACAAAGCCCACCAGCTCCTGAAAGCCAAGTTTGAGCCTGTCTACTTTAAATATGCTGGCTCAGGTGCCACCACATCTGTCAGGCTGCCTCTGTTTCTGTCGTACTGAAGACTGGACCTAGGATCTCATGTACACTAGTCGAGTACTGAATTCCTGAGTTGCACCCCAGCCCAAGGTGATCTGCAATACCCATTAGACTTTGATTGTACTTGTGCCTAATATCCATTTAAAAAGTAACCAGGGGCCTTATTAGATTACTTAGAAAAATCCAATTGCCAGTTTTTAAATGCCTGTAAAAACAAACCAAAAGATCACAAGAAAAATCTGGAACGTCTCCAGGGAAAGTTTTCTTCTCAGAATCAAGAACTCTGCTTCAGTTTCAAAGGGAAATTCTAATAATTGATTGTTATTACTTTCCAGATCATTCTATAGGTGGGTGACATCAATGATGGAACTGTACAACCTTCTCTATGAAATCAAGCTCCCGAAACAAAAGCAGTAGCTGAAAACTCGCCATCTGTACCCAGAAGGACAGAGACATGTGTTGCCCGTCAACTGTTTCAGGGTTTGTGATGTCTGGAACAATTTGGGGAGAGGTTTTACCCCAGCCCTGAGTGCTGAGCCATGCCTATAATCCTAACATCCCAGCACTCCACAGGTAGGGAGGTGCTTTGGCAGGAAGGGTGCAAGTTTGAGGCCAGCCTGGGCTATTCAGAGTTCTAGGCTATCCTGGACTAAAATCCTGTCTTCAAAAAGACAAAATAAACAAAACGACTGCCCCAAATGCTAGAATATCCCAGAGTGACTCACACATCCTACTTCCAGTGAAACTATACTTAAGACACAAAAGCAATAGGCAAATGGGGACACACAGGGCTTATGCTTCTGTACCCAGGAGAAGCCCTCTTCCTCACTCCTTCACCTTCGTCTCTTCATTCATCCTTCCTACTCTGAAGCTTCCCAGTACCTCTCTGCCCTCTCCCCTTCTCTCTAGTTGACTACTCACTCCTGCCTGTGGTCAGAAAAACTCAATTTTCAGAGGAAAATGGTAGGGAAAAGAGAAGGGATAGACACTATAAAAGAAAAGGAAGTAAAGAAATCCTTTGCTTACTAAACAGCTACCCCACCCTTCCCTCCTTATCACTCATGGTGCTTAAACAACATCCCTCACGGCATACTCAGCCCTGACCCCTAATTTCCTCATTCCTCATTTGTCACTTCACCACAAAACCTACAGGGTCGCCAGCTAGTCCTCTGAGGCAATGGGTGCTCAATCCCACACTGGTCAATACTCCAGCCCCAGCCACGGCCTACATCTCATAGGATCAAACAGAAAGTTCACCTGGGCCAGACAGTGGCAGCACACAACTTTGATCCAGTACTCCGGAGGCAGAGGCAGACGTAGGCGGATCTCTGTGAGTTCGAGGCCAGTCTGATCTAAAAAGTGTGTTCTAGGACAGCCAGGGCTACAAAGATAAACCCTGTCTCAAGCAAAAATAATTAAAGAAAAATTAAGTTCACCTGGAGCAGAGGGTAACTCTTAGTTTGAGTTGGGGATTAAAACCCTTTACCTCTATTTCCAATACCATTCTTTGGGGAAAAAAATGAGTTACAATTTTGTTAACAGTCTAAAAGGCTATAACCTAATAAGAATTTGGGACAGTCTACCATTTAAATATTCCCTGATAAATGACAAATAGGTTATTATAGTCTTGTAAATATTCAGATTTATGAAATATCTATGTTTTAAAGAAGGTAACCATTGGGATGGATACCTCTGAGAGAACCAAATAGATTTACTTATCCAAAATTTTGCTTGCTTAAATATCCAGACTCTAACGATAGTGACACTCTAACCCAGAGCCCTAGAGAAGACCCAGATTCCCTTCCCTGAGGCCCAAGACACTGTTAAACACTTTCCTGATGACTCTCAAAGAAAATCTGAACATGCTAGGCAAGTAAGTACTAGACTGCTAAACTACATGCCCAGCCAGGATCCTGCATTTTGAATTAATTATTCCAAGGCACAGGTCTACATTTTCAGCAAACAGACATTCCTTCAGGATTTCCACTTGAATCTTCTCAGCTCTCAGTCTCTCATTTACCTCATTTCACTTTGCCGGGGTCCTCCTCATTGAAGGCTTGCATTTTGCTTTCTTTGACTAGTCAACTGTTTACAACAGGAACAAGCTCTCAGGCCTGAGTCTGGCTCTATGGCTTAAAGCTTTGGCTTCAGCTGGTACATTTTAGGTTTCTCAAGGTTCATTGGGGACTCCCTGTTCATACCTTAAACAAAACTTTCTGTGGAACAAGAACATCAAAAGCAGAAGTTGCCCGACCTTCACCAGGCTGTCCTTGACAGCTTGCAGCCCATCCAGTACCACCCTTGGCTTCCTGTGTCTCCAGAAAGAACCCTCCTTAGGAATACCTGACCAGCTACACTAGCTGGCCATCTACAGTAGTCCCTCCAAACTGCTTTCCCTCAAGCCAACAGCAGACCAGACAAACAAGTTCCAGAAGTGAAGAACCCACATCAGAGATAGTGGTAAAGCCTCAGGGCTGAAATCCATCAGGGAACAAACCCCAAGGGTCAAGCCTCCCATTACAAGAAAAAATAGTCACAGCTAAGGACAGCAGAGTATCTGAAGAAACAAACCAAACTAATCACACACATGTGCACACATACACATACATAAATAACATGCAATAGCATGTTTAAAATACCAATAAATTGCTTCATGGGTAGAAAGAATGCCACACTATGAAAACAGATAAATTCTTCAAATAGTTGGATGCCAAGTTTGTCAAAAAATTTACGCTAAGGAAGAGGTTTTTGCCTACAATTAGGAGTAGACGTAGAAACAAATTGGCATCAGCTGTGAGAAAAAATAAGCAAGGGAACTAAGGAGCCTTTTACAGGTAAAAAGAGGAAAGGTAAAGATGATGATAAAGAAAAACGCCCTGAGAGCATGTGAAAATTAACATAACTCAAAATGATTTGCTTGACAATTTTATCTATTTAACTCACCCACAAATTCCCACCCCCTCCTTTGGAGTCCCACTTTGCACTCGGTATGTTTCTACAAGTCACATTTTAAGACTTGAGTTCTTAAAGACTATGTTTGCAACCTAAGGATAATCTGAAGACTTCATGATACAAAAGAAACACTGCAAATGTAATGCAAAGGCTACTTCTGCAATCACAGAGGGAGAAGGAAAATGGGGTTTATTCCTCTGCCTCCTTTCCACGCCTTCTTGCCTGTGCTCATTCCACACCTAAAGAGCCTACTAGGCTCCTTGTTTGTCCATATATAGAATAAAAAGAGAGAACCAGAACTCTTCAGGACACTTAAAACTGAGTACCATTTTCTTCAATGTGTAGCCACTCCACTGTTAAGGTGTCTATGCTCCGGTAAATAACTCCCTATTCACTCACACCCATTGAAGCAACAGTAATTAAATTTAATAGGTCAAACAAAAACAAGGCTCACACAAATCAAAAGGACATGAAAATAAGGGGGGAGGGGTCTTCTTGGGAAGAAGAAAGGGGTCAGTGGGAGCAGAGCAGGATGAAGGGGAGTAATGGGAGTGAAATGACAAAAATACATACATAATATGTATGCAATTGTCAAAGATTAGTAAATACTTTTTAAAAAACTAAACACAGAACATCAGATGCATCAATAAACAATATGCCGTAAGTAAGACTGAGATACAAAATGCAAGGACAGCACTGGATAATAGGGAGTTCAGAGTAGGAAGGAAATACTTCCTACTACCACCACTCCATGAAGCCTGGGACTGATAAGCTGAGCCACTGAAGATGAGTAAAATCGCAGTAAGAGAGACGGAATAGATTGCTCATACACAAAAGGAGGAAGACAACCGTTTCCTGAATTTCCCCGTTATTGCCTGAAGTCAGCAAGTAAAATAATGCTTGTAAAATAGCAAGATTGGTAGATGCAGGGTATTCCAACAATAGCACTTTATGTAAATCACATATTTCATAATTTCATAAACCTCATTGAATTAACTAATTTCCTGCCAAAGGTTCTTCGTTGGTGCATGCGGACCCTGGGACCGTCTAGGCCATCCTTGTAGTAACTATATTGCTACTATTTGAAGTCTTTGGATTGGCTACTAAACAAAGTACTATAAGCTTGCCATGCAAATACCCATTCCAATTGTATGACAAAGAGTTTGAATACAGAACTGCTTTCATCTACACTTCCTCAATCAGTTCCTCAATAAGTGATTTTCCTCTGCAGTCTATATCACAGAGTTGTTGAAGGCTAATTACAATGATGCATGCAAAAGTGCAGGTCTAGCTGACACCTATGTATTACCTGGAAGGCTGATGTCTAGGATCAAGTTGCAGCTGGCCATCTGGAGCGTCATAGGGCTCTTCAACTTCATACAAATTTGCATCAGTGTCCTCCGCACTGCTGGAATTCTGCCATCCCAACTCTGGAGTTTTCCCTCCAGCCGTAACAAAGGGCAAATTTTCATACTCTGGTATCTCCTCATAATGGCATACATTTTCATATTCTGGTACACAGCCACTTGTACTAGACTTGTAAGACACCTGACAGGATGAGTCTCTGGAGAGCAGCTGGTCATCCAAAGACTCAGCTCTCTGACCATTAGCTGCACTGGTCTGGCCCCAAGATTTTACCTTTTGAGACTCCAGGCTGCAGTTTTCTGCAGAATATGCCTTTATGGGTTTACTTCTCTTTTCTTCTCCTGTCACTAAACCCTGCCAATCACTTTCAAGCTTTTTTGGCTCTCTACTGAGCAGATGTCCTGTTGTGACATCCGCTTGCTGGTAACTTTTTGACCTAAATTTTTGAAAGTCACTCTTTATGAAACCAATAGAAAGTTTCACATTAATCAATTTTTTAAAAGAAGTTTTCTTTGGAAGTTCTTTGCAAGGTTTATTACACCTGTCCATATCCACAGCAGATAATGATTTTGCTCTTGGCTTGGTTAGGGAAATAGATGGCTCATTATTCAAGGATAAAGTGACACGCTTCAAGGATTCTGGGCTCCCTGAAAAAGGTAAAATGGGATGAGGTAATTTCCACACTGGCTTTTCTGAAGTTGAGTTAGGCGTATCAAAAGATGATGATGATATACCACGGCTTGAGGGACCCAAATGTTGAAAGTGATTTCTTTCTAAGCCTTTCTCTGAATTTGTTGCTTTTCTTGAAGAATAAGAATTTTTTTCTACAAGTTCCTCAGAAGCAGCCTTCTTAAGCACTCCTGCAGTGGGCAAGCTGTGTCTTTGAGGTTTTTTGGGAACAATTTTAGAGGAAGGTTCCTTTTGTATTTGAGGAACAGACAATTCCACATTACAGGTAGTTGGCGGGTGTTCAGTGCAGGATAATTTGACTTGCTTAGGCAAGCTCTCAGACTGAGTATTGCATTGTATAAAACTAATCTCTTTGTCCACAGCAGGTAACATCCCAGAAACATCTTCTGCTGTGCTGTCAGGACCCAAAATAGAGTCTGCATCTAGAACAGGTGCCACTTTTTCAGAGGAAGACGTTTCATGACGCACAGCTTTCTGTGAGTTGACTGAGTCTTGTCTGTCACTCTTGGAATCACTAGTCACTGCCCTTTTATTTGCTGGCTTCACTTTGTCCACTTGTCCCTGGTTATACAAAACCTGATGAAGAACACTGACTTGATTGTTTTTCAAACTATTTTCAAGGAGACAAGAAGAGCCATTGTTTGAATTCTCTGGCTCTTCGGTACTTTCACTAGGAGTATCTACATACTTCTGGCGAAGCAGACGAGCGGTGTGTGTCCTTCTGGGCTTGGGAGTTGGAAACTTTGAGGTATAGGGTAATAAGTGAATTTCTAAAGGGCCAAGATCTGTGACCTCTGTCTTTTTACTAGTTCCATCTGAAGACATCTTTCTGTCATTTAGTTCACATGAATGAAAGTGACTATTGCTCTTAGAGTTGCCAGTGTGACAAGTCTCGAGATTTTGAGATTCATCCCTAGGGAGCTGTAGCTGGCAGCTATGATGAGCAGGAACTTTTTCAAAGCTGGACAGGGAAGGGGACAGATCTGCAAATTCAATTCTGATCTGTCTGCTGCAACTATAGTCGCCATTCATTTCTGTGTTGTATGGAGATCTGTGCTTCCTCGGGGAACTACAAGGTGATTGCTGTCGTGTTAAAACCTCTTTGAGCTTCTCTTCTAAGATGCTTGCCTTTAAAATAACTCCACTCTGGCTCTGGCCCTTTTCACCACTTGAATCCCACTTAGTCCCCCTCTTTGCAGTTAAAGAGGACTCACCATTTTTATTATTCCCTAAATTGTCTTTCATTCCCAGAGGCTCTAAAACAAGCTGCTTTGCACATAGACTTTCTCTACTCCCAGGCTCCTGAATACACCCAGAACTGCAGGAACACGTTGGTAAAATATAATCACTGTGTGGATCCCTGACATCTTTGCAATTAAACTTGTCCGTGCTTTCCGGTAATTCTGGCTCCCGTTCCCCCAGGTTCAAAGGGATCTTCTTTGAAGGTGACTGCTTGATGTCTTGAACAACTGAGTTTGTCAGGGCTTTTGGTTTTGGTGCAATTGTCGGCTTGGTTTTCTGGGTTAACCGTGGAACACTAGCATTCATGATATCTGGTTTAGGTGCAATGGGAGGGGGCTGTGGCTTGTTATTTGTCCCCATTAACTTTGGCTTGGGAGCCAATGGTGGCTTCTTAAGCTCTAGAAAGGAAAATATAATAATTAGACACAAGAGGATATGAAAACACATGACATTTTCCTGTTTTTATTTGTTTTCTGTAACAAGGTCTTGCTATGCAATCCTGTCTGACTTGGTATCTACAACATAGCTTGGGCTAGTCTCAGACACACAGCCATACTCAATGCCTTTCTTTCTAATGCTGAGATTATAGCAGCACTGTTCAGTGATACAGACAATATCTGTGTGATGGCCTGTTATAAAAAATGTCTGCCTGACAGAACCCCCAAAACATTCTGAAAATTAACCAGACATTTTCTACCCCCTCAAAAAAAAAAAAACCAATAAACAAAAAAAAAACAAAAAAATGAAAGTAAATTCTTTGGTATTAATTGAGGTTCATAACAAGGCTGAACGATCAATTGGGAATTTCATGACATCTTCATAGAGCTTTGTCACATGCCCAGGCCTGGCCCCAGATCAAACAACATCTGAACATACAATCTGTACATCTGTATTCCTTTCATCTCCCATGGGTGACTGACCATATCTTTTATCCTTCACCAGTTGTGTGTTGTTTCTCTGAGCAAGGGTTCTCATTATGTAAGCCCAGTGGGTCTCGGACTCATATCCCTCTGCTACAGTGTCTTGAGTGCTGGAATTACAGCTGCATCATCAAGCCCAGCCTTAAAGGATGACCACAAGTTCTGGTGCAGCAACTCTTCCTCACCATTACATGTCAAGTATTTCATCAACTCCTATTATACAATACTGCATTTGTACAGGCCTGCTCTTAGCCTATATGAACTTTACAATAGCTTCACATAGAGGACCATAATAAGATGACTCTGTGGCAAAGTTCAATCATGAAGGGCAGAGTTCGGTCCCAGCACCCACATCAAGAAGTTCACAACAACCTGTAACTTCAGCTCAATGGGATGTGACACCCTCTTCTGGCCTCTACAGGCACCTTCGCTCAAATCTGACCATATACTCAAACAGAAACACATCTAAACAAAACAAAACAAATCTTTTTTAAAGACCCTAATAAATCTAAAAATGATACACAGAAACTATATTTTTTTTAAGTTCCTTCAGGATCTTCTACTTGTCAATCATGCTCCCCATGGGGACTTGAGTTCAAACATGTTTTATCTTATACTTCTTAAAGTAGCTTCTTCAACAAAATCTAATACTTAATTTTTAAAAAGGTTATTTATAAAACAGTCTTAAAATATATGCTGCACAGGACTGCCGACATTGTTTCATGTTCTTGCACACAGAGAAGCTTTGATACGCCATTTGCATTGATTTTCTTTTCAACAAAGGAAATTAGTCATAACGCTCAGAAAAATATTACATGGAACTGAGTAAAAGGAAAAAAAAAAAGGGTGCTCAACTTCCTCTTCCTAAGCAAAAAGGGATTTCTCAAACTCTGGTATTATATGCACAGCCAAGATTATATAACAGGTACCTTATCAAACTCAGTTCCTAGGCATAAGGTTATCATTAAAAAGGCAATTAATTTTCAAAATAATACAAATTCCCAAAGCAGGCAACTTTCAGTTAGCTGTTCAATACACACATTATTAGCCTGAGGTTTGGTTCTTGTGGTTTTTGGCAATGCTGAAATAGTATATTAAATTAAATTCCCCATCCATCAAGTCAAATATTAAGGGAAAGTGGGACTGCCTGAGGACTTGTCCCAATCTCCCTTCTCATTCAATAAAAACTGACAGCCTGTCATGTTGATTTCATTTCTGTCATGCTTAAAACACCCTAGCTCTGGGATTTTTTAAAGAATTAAAAATATGAGTTTTTATAAGACAAAATGAGCTCTGGATAGCAGCTACTACAATGTTCTTAACATTTCTGAACTGTACACTTAAAAATAGTTAAGACAGGTGGACATAGTGGTGTTTGCCTATAACCCCAGGACTTGCTACTTAGGAGGCTGAAACAGGATTACTGTGAGTTTGGGGCTAGTCTGGGCTATACAGTAAGATCCTGTCACACACATACACAAAAAACAAACAAACAAACAAACAAAAAAACAGGAAGTTAAGATGGTCTATCTTACCACAATTAAAGAGACATTCAGGCCAGCCACATGGCTCACTTGCCCTACAACCCTGGAGACCTGAGTTCAATTCCCAGAACACATATAAAGGTGGGAGGAAATTGTTTCCACAGAGCTGTTCTCTAATATTCACATGCACACTGTGCCCCCCCACCAGTCAACACACATACATACACAATATTAATAATTTTTCAAAGATTTATTTTTTTTAAATAAATATTTTAGCCAGGCAGTGGTGGTTCATGCCTTTATTCCCTGAGTTCAAAACCAGCTTGGTCTACAGAGAAAGTTCCAGGATGGCCAGAGCTACAGAGAAATCCTGTCTCAAAAAACCAAAATAAATAAAGGAGGGAGGAAGGGATGGAGGAAGGAAGGGATAAAGAGGAAGGAGCAGAAAGGAAAGGGGAAGAAAGAAGGATCTCATATCAATCTTTTACTTTTTGAGCTTTTTTTACTGAGTCTAGTCAGAAGGTTCAAGGTCATTTAATCAAGTCATTTTGCTTTTCACTGCAAACATTTTATTACCACTTATTTTGTTGCTATTGTCTTGCCACGTATCCCCAAGCTGACTTCAAACTCTGAATCCTCCAGCTCAACCTCCCTAAAGCATTTTATTACTCTCTAGTGCCAATTTTAGCCCTCCCTTCCACCCTATTGCCTCACCCTCCCTAAATCATAATCTCTAGTACCAATTCCAGTCCTTTCTTGGAGCCTACTTCCTGGAGACAAATTCCTCTTCTCTCTTAATGTCACAGAAAGCCAGTTAGGTGCATGTGAGTCAAGGCTGACTCCCAGGAAACAGCACCAAGTTATGTTCTAAAGCCTGCAATGCATGCATACTTATTAACTCCCTGTGAACTTGGGCTTACTAGTGTTAGTTACCTGTGTATTCAAGTGAAAGAAGTCAATAATGTAACTCAGAGTCCAGCTTATTCAGTCTTACTCACTGTGTCCTCAGTGCTGACAAGGAGACCGAGAATAGACAGCTGCCCCATATTGGCCATTTAGTATGTCTTCAGTGACAGAAAATTTATTTTTAATGCCAACATCTAATCTAACATCAAATGATGTTCTGAAGGCTAAAGAGATGGCTCAGTGGTTAATAGTGGTTAATAAAAGTACATTGTACAGTGTTCTTATAAAAGACCTGAGCTCAGTTCCTAGCACCCATGTGACCAGGGTAGGGACTGAGGGATGCAGATTGTGTGTATGTGTGTGTTTGGGGGGAGGGGGGGATGTTGTTCTACAACTGACTATAAGTCCAGTTCTAGGGGAATCCAACAACCTCTTCTGAACTCCGATGGCACCTTTGTTCACACATCCACAAACCTCTACCGACCCACCTCCCCACACCCGGACACCTCCCACACACACTTACCTTTAAAATAAATCTTTAAAAAAATGATGTTTTGAAAAGGGAGCACGATGAACTTCAATAGGATTACTGTGTAATTCCTTCATGACTAGTAGGAACAAGTGTTTGCCAAGTCACTGGTACAGCAATATACAAAAATCTTTCCTTACTGTTATTTCTTTATTTTCAGTTTTTGAAGACAGGCTTCGAAATGTAGCCCTGGATGCCCCTGCACTGCGTCTTCTGGGCTCACCCTCTCTAGTACTGGGAGCATTACAGGGGCATAATACCATGTCATCTTCATTAATATTTTTAAATTATATTTCATTGGCAAGTTGGCCCTTCCATTGCACACATGTATTAGATGACAACTTGAGATACTCTCATTTCATTGTGGGGGTCCCAGGGATCAAACTCAGGTCATCAGTCTTGACAGCAAGAGCCTAAGCCACTGAGCCAACTCACTGGCCCTCATTATTTTTAATGGCTCTATTCTGAAAGAAACATGGCTAAAAACAACACTAACAGTACATTATATTATGATCTACTCCAGTGTCAAACCCTGAAATGTTTGGAAATGAATCCTGCACCTCTGGATCTTGACACTGTATTAACAATCAATCAGACCCAAATGCTTCTTTGGAGCAATACAGCAAATCTTTTATTTACACAGCTGTTTGGCTACAGTGAAATCTAAGGTAGAAAAGTAAAGCACCAGTACCATTTTACTGTTATAAACAGAATCGTCATCTGCTACACACAGGTGGCCTTGGCTCATTCGAATACACACTCCCTTGGCTATTCCACCAGCCCCAAAGCAAAAGAGCACAGGCATTAAATTAATGAAATTGTGAGATGCACATACACATAATGATAGATGACATTTATAATTATGATACACTACTTAGTAAACTTCCAAAATCTCTTCCATGAGCTCACTCTTCAACAGCTGAAGAAAAAAAAAAAAAAAAAAAAAAAAAAGCAAGCTCTTCTTCAGGGGTACATATCACTCCAATGTTGTACAACAGCCCCTAACCCTCCCAAATACACCAGAATAGACTAAAACACTCTCTACTCCATGAGTAACTTCCCCATAGTTTTAATAAATTTCATTGTTCTGACACACATACACATGCTTGTGAGGACAATGTATGCGTAGCTTTATCAGAAAGGGATGGAAAGAAAACCCTCAGTCCTCTTCCACATCCCCTAAACATAAGAAAAACTTATATAATAGCCAGGCGGTGGTGGCTCACAACTTTAATCCCAGCACTTGGGAGGCAGGGACAGGCGAATCTCTGTGAGTTTAAGACCAGCCTGGTCTACAAGAGCTAGTTCCAGGACAGCCTCCAAAACCACAGAGAAAGCCTGTCTCAAAACAAAACAAAACAAAACAAAACTTATACTAAATCTCATCAGATGGGTGAGCAAAAAAGTAGCTAATGTTTCTTAGCAAGTCATACTTAAAAAAAAAAAATCAACAAACTCAGCTAGACACAGGAAGTGTCTCTCTTTTAAATACCACAAAAATGCTGTGGATTTCCTTAATTGTAAAGTTGATAAGTATAAAAATAGCTTGTCTTGCACTTGGGAGGCAGAGGCAAGCAGATCTCTGTGAGTTCGAGGCCAGCCTGGTCTCAAGAGCGAGTGCCAGGACAGGCTCCAAAGTTACACAGAGAAACCCTGTCTCGAAAAACAAAAAACACAAAACAAACAAACAAACAAAAAAAGCTTGCTTTATTCTAGTGTAATTCGAACAGAACAAGCATAAACTTGCAGACTGAGACTAGAAATTTTGATTAATTTTTAAATTTTATTTTAATTTAAATTAATAATATTAATTCAGTAATTTTAAAAAGTTGGTTGAAGGTGAAGAACAGAAAGTTAGGCTGAAAACAATCCACAGTGTAAGTGGAACGCCTCCCAAAATTAGAAAAAGAGAGAAGCATTTGTAAATGACTCTGATAGTGCATGAGGACCATGTGAATGAATACACATTAACATCAAAGAGAAAAGATCTACATTTTCTACCCTGAATACTTCAGCCCCTTGCTTTCTTGTTGCTACTAATTTCCTGCTTGTTTAATGTAATCTGATTACGCCCAGCAGTAAGACTCTTCCAAGGCTTTAGAAATACAAATCACAGAACATTTGGTGTGCTCTTTGACAGTTTCAGGTTGCAGGAATTTTAAACAAACGCCAAAGAAAGCAAAGAAAATTTAATCTGATACTTAAGTGCTTATTCTAGACGTAACTGAAGTGAAGTCCTACACTATTTTACTACAAAATTTCTCACCTAAGTTTCTTCAAATGTGGGTAAAGATGTTTTTTAAAAATATTCCATATCTTACTAAATTCTGGTTTTAAAAATAAGCTATGTTCTTGGAAGGGTACCACAGCATCACTTGGGCACTTAAATTTGGAAAATAAAAATTGCCCCTTAAGAATGTTTCTCAGTACAATGACCAGAAATGCTTACATTGACACAAAGGTAAGCAGAGGCTTTGTCATCTGAATGGAGAGGAGGCAGACAGAAAATAAGGCTTTGTTTACACTGTCGAGATACGACTTCGGAAGAAACAAAAAAAGTTAAGAAAAGGTAAAGATAAGGAAAAGGGAGTGGGAGGTTTTGTTTGTTTGGGGGGGTTGTTTGTTGGTTGGGGGGCTTGGTTTGTTTTCTTGTTGTTGTTTGTCTTTTTTGCCATCTAATAGTGCAATTTAGTCCTCAGGTGATAGGACTCAAAACACCAGGGTATGCCAGTTCTGTGTAAACCTCCTCACTAATGCAAGTTTCGATCAATAAAGAATAGGTTTTAAAGCAACCCAGGCTAGGAGTTGGATTAGTTCAACTCTGAAAACTGTCCTAGTTTAGAATAACTGATTCCTCCGCATCCGACTCCACGCTCCCCACACCGCGCACAGGCGACATCGGCAAAGCACGGGAGCCAGCGCAGCGTCGCCGTAGCTCCACCTGGGCTCACGGGGGATCCCTGATCCCACCGCAGGAGAGCGACCCCGGACCACCGACAGGCGAGCGACCCGCGCCAGTCCCGCAGCGGCCACCCGGGGAAGGGACCCGCCGGCGCCCGCAGCAACTTCCCAGCCTCTTACTCACCCGCAGCAGAAGTCATGACTGCCCCGCGCAGCTCACACCCTCAGTCCATGGCTCCGGTCAGTCCACACTCCCCAGAGTTGGAGTGGGGGACAAAAACCCCCGCAGCGCCCGCATTCCGTCCC